ATCAGAAAGCTGCTAAGTTGGTCACCTTATTAGAAAGAAATGCTTCACTGTGAGGGTGGTGGGACACTGGAACAAGTTGCCCAGAGAAGCTGTGGATGCCCCATCCCTTGAATTGTTCAATGCTAGGTTGAATGGGGCTCTGAGCAACCTGGTCTAGTGGAAGGTGTCCCTGCCCTTGGCAGGGGGGGTTGGAACTACATGATCTTTAAGGTCTCTTTCAACCCAAATCATTCTTTGATCTTTTGCTTTTGCTATAGTGTAGGTGATGGCACCTCACATCTCGTGCAATTTGCACTGGTGTGCTTGTTTTGCCTGGGGTAGACTTAATTTTCTTCACAGTAGCTGGTATGGGGCTCTGGTTTGGATTTGTGCTGAAAACTGTTGATAACACGGGGAATTTGTTAGTTATTGCTGAGCAGTGCTTGCACATAGCCAAAGCCTTTTTTGCTCCTCACACTGCCCCAACAGAGAGTGGGCTGGGGGTGCACAAGGAGCTGGGAGGGGACACAGCTAGGGTAGTGACCTCACCTGATCCAAGGAGTATTCTATACCAGGTGGCACCATGCTCAGCTATAAACTAGGGGGAAGGTTGGCAGTGGGGAACCACAGCTCAGGGACTGGCTGAGCGTTGGTTTGTTAGTGGTGTGCAATTCTTTTCATTTGCATCACTTGTCTTTCTTGGGTTTTATTTCTCTCTCAGTTAATTTCCTTTTCATTATTTTTTTTTACTACTACTACTATTATTTCATTTCAATTATTAAGCTGTTCTTATGTCACCCCATGAGTTTTCTCACTTCTGCCCTTCCAGTTCTCTTCCTCCATCCCACTGGAGGTGGGGGGTGAGTGAGCAGCTGTGTGGGGCTTAGTTACTGGTTGGGGTTAAACCACGATGACAGCTGGTAAAATCACTTGGTGGCTCAGCCATCCTGTGTCTTTCTCATCTTCTAGCCTTGTTGAAGGCTAAGCCTCTTTAATCACCAAGTTTGTGAACCTAAAAGTTGAGCTGTTTCCTGTTTCTCTTGCTCCAAGGCTGAAGATCATTCATTTCTTTAGCTAAACTATTTGAGTATCAGTGTCACTGGATAACAGTGGACTGTTTGGACCACTGTTATCAACCACAGTGTGAGGTTGTTTGCCTCATTTTTAAAGAACTTGAGCATTTTGGTCTCTGCTGAAGACTTTTTATTCCCAGAATGGATTATCCATCAGACTACTGAGCTGATGACCCACTCTTTGCATGCCTTCCAAATCATATGACATTTATTGGCAATATGGTATTTGACTTTGATCACATTTCCTGAAGACAAATTTAAATTAACTGTACACATGTGCAGGTTGTAATCCCACGACTGCACGGTGGGTAAGGTTCCCGTGTGTGCCTAACTATTACCCTAATAGAGCAGAAGAAAGGAAACAGTGAAACTGGTAGCTGCAAACAGATAGGACTCTTAAGTGTGATTTGACCAGAACAGGAAAGGAGTTAATAATTTCTATCATCTACACCAAGAAACTGCTTTGACGTGAGTACTTTCTAAGTCAGCTCATGAAAATCATTTGCGGTGCCTCAAGTATGGATGCTGATGTAAACTAAAGCTTTGGAAACAGCAGCTTGTGCACCCAGCATGTGGTATCTTGTCATTCCACAACCCTTTTTTATTGCAACTTTAGAGAAGGCACTACAACAGTCAACATTAATATGTTATCTCAGCCAAGTAACCAAAACAATCAGTAAAATTAAGTTCAGAACACAGAAATGTGGTAATTTGCTCACCCTTGAGACTCTGTACCTGGCTTCAAAATTGGCTCACCTAACCAGATCTGGCAGTTTTAGTTCTCTAAAATCCAGTCTACAACAGTATCAAAATCACTTCAGCTAAGCCAGCTTTAAACTGTTTAAAAACTTGTGCTACTTAAGCTGCAATTGCAATATAACTCAGAATGAGATGAGGAAAATCTGGGAAAATAAGCACACAGCAGTTAAAAAGAAACGTTCGCTAAGGGAGAAGTACAGGTGCTTTAACACTGTCTTTAATTGCTAAAGCATAAAATGTCAAAGGAACAAACTTTTTTTCTATTTCTGTATTCCTATGAGTAAAAAAAAATAAGTTTTTGTTAAAAAAATCAACATGAGGCCTTAAGACCTAATATATTCTAACTTTAGCATGGAGAGTCTATTTTTACAACCATGTTAGAAATTCTGTATATAGGCCTGACTGACCTTGTAAGTATAGTGATGCGAGCAGATAACCATGCAATATTGTAAGGCTCTGTATAACAGTAAATGCTGATTTATTTTGATTATTGGTACAAGAACTCGTGCTCACTGCCTGTGTAGACTCTGCATATTTTATGCTTGGAAATACAGTCCAGAACATATTCAAACTGTGAATATATAACCTGATTTTTCTTTTCTTAAGGGTAAAAATATATTACAATAGGTAATGTTTTATATAGAATACAGTACTTATTTTTATCATTGCATAAATGCAAAGTATTTTTTTCAGAATAGCAAAGCATTACAGAATTTTTAATCTGCTGGAGAAAACACTATTTATGGTATGACCGGTTCTTTCAGCAAAGCTTTTGGGGTGGTATAGACCAACTGGCTCTGCCATCTTCATTTTGTGCTAGTGCTTAACTTGGGCATTGCTGTAAAAAAAAAGCTATTTTTTCACTCGTACTAGCCCTTATTGAGAGAGGCAAGAAGAATCGTGTTTCACCACTGTGGCTGGGCTAGTATTGGCAAAAACAACAGTCTGCACCATATCGTTGTCTTTGCTAGTTAAAATCCTTTAAAAATCATATCTGAGGTAACAGAAGCATAATGTTTTGACAAACACCAAAACGAAGCATTGCAATTTACAACTTTCTAGCTTTGAGTGTGATATTTTTGTCATAAACATTACAGGCATTGGGCTGTTGAATGAATCTGGCTTTCATGTAGCTAAACAAAATGTTGCTTTTTATAAAATCAAATCATTGTAATTTGGGGTTCTAAATTCCTGCTCACTTTTAATAATAACAGCGTTACACTATCCACTTCTATGGGAGTATTTAATACAAATGCCTGTGGTTTTCAATGTAACTAACATATTGTAACATCAGTAAAGTGATTTTCAATGACAAAGACTGTTGTGTGTATTTTGTTCTTCTAAGTTCTTGTATTTAGCACTTTCTGATTTATAGGCCTCTGTAAAAAAAAGATGATGCTTGAATGGGAAAAGACTAAAAGTAGAATACAGATGTTATTTTTCAAATTCCAGGGTTGAAAATGATCCCATGAGCTTCTCAAATTTTTATCTCAGGGGCTTATTTTTCTCAAAGCAAATCTAAAATTACTGTTCCTTAGTTTGCATGTTTAAGGGCAACCTAGAAAAAATATCAATTTGAAACTATGCCCAATGGTTTGCACAAAGGTCAAGAGCAATCATGCCTCTTGGTATCAAGCATCCTTCCCAGTATGCCTTCTGGGAAAGAGAAACCCTTAATTCTGAGTTTGAAATAACTGTTTCTTTGAAGCAGGTAACTTGTATATTCAACCTGCCCACTGAATCTACTCTTAATGGGTAAGCAATTTTCACAAAGGTTTCAGGTGGCTTTTTTTTAGCTAGATGATAGCATAGTAACTTCTTAGCATCTGTATGTATTAGCTTAGTTTGTGTCTAAACATGATAGATGATTTATCCCATTGGTCCCTATGAATATGATGGATTTTTAAAATGCTTATGGGAGAACAAAAACCATTTTTTTTTATTGAGTAAGCTAGAATTTTCTCCTGGTTTTGGAACAATTTGTTTTCCAGTTTACAATTTGTTTTCCAGTTTACAAAGATCACTGAAGAAAACCCTACTGGTTCACACTGTTTTCTTGCAGCATTTCACTGCCCAGTAGCTGGCTGGTGCCAAAATAAACTGAGAAAGACTTGGGCCCTTGGGCCTTGAGTGCTTTGGCCCATTTGGGTCAGCTCTCCCCACCCCATTCCCTCCCACCCTCAGCCTACTCAGTGAAATTGCAGAGTGAGAAATTGAGAAGGCCCTGAAGCTGTGCAAGCACTGCCCAGCAACAGCTCAAATGCTGCTGTGCTACTGATGCTGAGTAGTCACAAATCTAAACCACAGCAGCCATGAAAATTAATTCTATCCCAGCAAAGCCACTACAAGACCAGAAACACAACTAAGCAGAGGTAGAGAAAAACTGTATGGGTAATTAGCATTTTGGTAAAGATACCTCATCATTTTTAGGGTAAAATGAACAGTGTAAGGATGAATACTGTATTTAAGCAAAATGGTCTTATCAAGTCCCTAGAGGAAGAATAGGCTTTGGCTTATACTCTTACTAACCTTGTCAGCTGTCAGAATTTTGGACTGCAGCAAAACTGATGTTGGGTACTTGACTCCGATGAACCTTTATGAATTTTGGGCACTACATCAGAAATGCTTTCTGTAGCGTTCTGTCTGTTTCCCAACTTTATGTGCAACAGGACAACGTGCAATTATCAGAATGTGAAAGTATAATGCTGTCTATGCAGAAAGAGAACTAGCTCCTGAAATGAAACTAGAAGCAATATGCAAAGGATTCTAAATTTAAGTAGTAAGTACGAGTTGCTTCTTTAGGCGAGACCAGCCTGCTTTGAATTTATAGCCCAGAAACTAGAGACCTGAATTTTATAGTATTCTTAGCAAGGTAGGGTATAAAAAAATATCTTCAAGCAAGATTTCTGCTCTAAGGATTACTTCTGTTATATGTCTTTCTGTATCTGCTTTCATGAGCATGCTACAACATTGGTAACTACTGCTGTGATCTGAAAGACTAATCTGGCAAGAATTTTTTTGTAGTGAGTTTAGGCCCTTGTACATTAGATGGCATACTGAGGCAAACCCTACCTGTTAGGGTTTAAAGTGGAGGAGATAGAAACATTCATTTACATGTAACTGAAGTCTGCCAGCTTAGAAGTTAATTGTTAAAAGGGAAAGTTGATGTACAAACTGACATGGAACGACTTTTGGATGTTTAAAAGTATTTTATATAGTGACACAAACAGAGCAAGAATCTTATAGGAACAAAAGCCCCTATACCAGAGCATGCAGCTAGAAGAGTTCTCTGCTACGTTTTGTCACATCCCTGCTTCCAAGGAGTTCCAACAGGTAGTCTCACACTCAGTGCATGGTGTCACAAACTTCATCTTGAAAACAGCTGACAAAATAAGCAACCAAAACTTACTGATGCTTTAACAGACGAGTGTAAAATGACCGTTCCAAAGCTCTTTCAGTTTGTACATGTCTTATACCATCAAAGACAAAAGAAGTCATCATCTTAAGTCATACATGTTACTGTTTAAGACAGAAAAGGTAAGTTGCACTCCAGAAACTGGTTTTAGTGCATTATTGGAAAAAAGTAAACACATTACAGAAAATCTTACCATTTGCATGATCTGAGTTATACACAGTGAATTGCAAGTTTATAAAAATAAAAGCATCTTTAATAATCACAGGTTGGAAGTTATAGACAACGGTACGTGAGTAGTTCATATTCATTATCAAGACTAAAAAAATGTGTGTAAAGCGGTACTTCATAAAATATGCAATTTCCCATCCTGAGATACACAATCATTGGAAGAGTTGGCAAAGCAAAACACAAACTGGAATGTTCATCCATGGCTTGCTTCCTTTTGATTTAGATGCTCATAACACACTGTATGAACTGAAAAGAGGAAAACCACATATTAGAAGTAAGGCAGAGATCAAGTTTTCACTTTTTCTCCTACAATACTCATTGTCACTACACTTTTCTGTGAAGAAATTCTGTAAAGAACAACAAAACTTTAAAACTAAGTACGAAAATCAGTAAATAAAAGTATCTCCTTAATGATAACAAAAATAAAACCCAACAAATGCCTCCCTCCCCCACCAAAAAAAAAAACAAACCAACAAGGAAAGAACCCCACCCCAAAAAACAGGAAGGTTTGAATCTAGTTTTCTCCTTTTCCTGCACAAATGTGGCCAGGAGGCCAATAACCACAAGCCAGACTGAGTGTGATTTGTGTCTGTCCCCACCAGACCTCTGCCAACCCTTCCTGGGAAAAATGCCTACCAAGCCTTAAAATAAAAAATTGAAAAGAAAGTCACAGAAAGTGATGCTGTCAAGCGATCTAACTTCTTGGATCTTCTTGAACCAGGCTGGTAAGAAGTCCCGACAAAAGAGCACAACAACATTTTACAGAAATCTATAAAATACATGAAAACTTTTTAAGACAATACTCAACAAGCCCCAGAACTTTTGGGCTCTAAGTGTCTCTTCTCTACACTAAGTAGAGAAGTGTAGAGAAGATAGGCACAAATTCAAATCATTACTGATTGTCTTCTGTTTTATGTTTTTCCTTGGTTTTACCCTGGAATTTTAATGTATTCCTTAAAATTCACTTACATCATCATACTGGAAATTCACAAAGCCCTGCTGAGTTGTATCCCTTCTTCTAAAGCATTCTGCAAAAATGCATTAAGAAAACAGAAACCAGGTAAGAAAAATTACAGTTAAAAAATTTTTTAAAAACATATAGTAGTTTTCTAAAATTCCCCAAGTCACATGAATGAGAACCGATAAAGAATACTGCAATTCATTCCAAGACTTAATTTCCCATTCTAAATTTTTATATTTATCACATACAAGCCTTTACATTCTGTTAATAAACAGTTTCCCAATTTTGATAACATAACTCTTCTAGCCTCTGGAGTAAACCCTGCATTAGTTTTAAGTCCATTTTTTCATTGGAATTTAAAAAATCCTTATCTATAGTAAGAGCTGTTCCAGTTCTGCCTGTAGACTATTGAAAGAAACCTAATATAAAGTACACAAAAGTTGAACTTAAGATAAGTGAGCAGTCAGATTTTATTAAATAAAAGTATATTACGGAAATGATAGTAATAAGGCTATAATCCAGCATACCAGTGAGAGCTCGGAGTTTCACACAGCAGGCAATGTAATCATCAAATGCAATCTTTCCGTGAGTGCTGTATCGCTTTGTGATTGCAGACACAGCCTGTGGGCTCAGTCTAAATCCTATTTGAAAATAAAAAGTCCTATTTTGAAAACACAGGTAAATTAACAGACTCCAATGCATTTTTCATTGTAAATACCACGTCAGTTACTGCAGGGTGATAACTCGTACTGGGAAATGGTGTAAGTAGTGTCAGAAGCGAGAATATTTCACAAGTTACCCATATTCATCAAGGCTTTCTCCAGTTCTTGACGATCCACTGTGCCACTTCCATCACTGTCAAAAGTTACAAAGTGTTGCTTCCAGCCATTGACCACAGCCCAGAGTTCTTTAAACTCATTAAATCCCAGTGTGCCAGACATATCTCTCTGATTTCAAAGCTAAGAAAACCACTTCTTAACAAAAAAAACAAACAAAGCAAGCCATCTCTCTGTAGTTATAAACTCTTACTTGAAGATCAATATTAATATCATTTTACTATTATTCATTTCTTCTGGTAGGAAACTACCTAAAGCATCCCCCAGCAGAGATGGAGATAATACTTTTGCCCAAATCCAAAGGTCAGAGAACCTCCTCTCCCCACTGAAACCTGCTAAAACTATTTGCTCTTTCAGAATTTAACTTAGTTCATACACTTCTCTTTAACCTGATGGTATATAACTGTAACCAATAGAATATATATCTGAAATAAAAACAGATGCCAAAGAAAAAATTAAGTTATAATAATAATATCAGTTCTCTCATATTCTAGGCAGTTTGTTCAAGGTGAACTAAGAGTCCTACCAGTTTCATTTCTGCTTTTTTCTTTTTAAGAAAGATTCCTTTATTCTTTTTTCTTTTTGAGCAGCAAAACATTCTAACATGACAATTTAAGCTTTGGCTAAAAAGACTCCAAGGTGTACCTTACACAGTATATCTAAGTCTTCCATAGGTCCTACCACCGAATGCCATATACCACTCCATTAAATATTCAAACCTGATTCATTCAAGGAACAAGATTTAGGGGGACTTAGATTGCTTATTCAGGCTGTGTAGTACAAATGTTTAAAACTAATTTGGAAGGATTGGAAAGCTGTCCTATTTGAAAACCACAATAAGGGATTTGCACAAACCTCTATTCTGGGCCACCAGACCTGACTCTTCATACATTAATGGAGAAAGAGTTCCCCAGGCTTAGAGGAATACCACTTGTAAGAAGATCAGTCACCGAGACTCTTTTATTATTATTTTTTCATCCTTTAAAATCAGTAAGGATGGAAGTAGCTCCCCAGTCATAATGATCACAATACTTATCAAGTAAAGGCAAGCATTTCCCAAATTTCTGGCACCCTCTCATCTTTGCTTACATAATGCAAAAATGTTTACATTTCATAGCAAAGGATACATCCAGCATTGAGATCATAAGTCTGCAAGTCTCTAAGTTGAAAGCTGTTAAAATTAGAAAAACAAAAAATAAATTATGTTAAAAGCATACTTTTCAGTTTTGTCCAAATGTGAAATTTTAAATTTATTATATATTTAAATTATATACTGATAGTATATTTGATGTATAAAGTATTATATAACTGGTTCCCCTGTATACAGCCATACCATATTTTGATCCAAGTAAAAGCCATTACTTGTTAGAAAAACTGATAGTAGACAACCTGGAGGCAATTCAAGTTATATTTAAAATTATTTTCCTCATATATCAATGCATAACAGTTTTGTACTTCAAAGTAGTCATTTATATTCCACCATAGACACGGCTTGAGCAAGCCAGCTGCACTCACAGAAGCTTGATTTTCTACACGGAACAGGAGGTATCCTGACAGAGGAGTCCTGCCACAGATTTTGGTCAATATCAAAGCGCCGTTTCAACCAAAGCAAAACACCTTTTTAAGAACTGTCTGTCCATTTCAAAGCAAATACTTCTCTGACACCAGAGCCCAGCAGTGGTAAATTAAAGACGCTGACAAGGGGAGTATTATGTGCACAGAACTGAGTAGAGAGAATTTATGTTGCCAAGTTGTCCACATGAAAGGAAAACCCATTACCATGCAAAGAAAAAACACAGCTTTGGACAAGGCACAGCTACAAGCATTTTCTAGTAAATGGTAGAAGAATTATTATGCCTTAGATCTGCTTGTTTATTTAAATCATTAACTTACGTTTATAGGCTCCTGCAATCCCTGACTGGGTGAGACATCTCTGTAGCTCATCAGCATCTATTTGTCCATCCTTTCGATAATAGAAGAGGTATCAGCTATTGTTTTAATTCCCATTCCCCGTCTGGTTATTCCCAGAACCCACTCCCTTTCCAGTAGCATTAAATTAGTTACCCTTTCAAAAAGGAATCCAAATACATAACCTCTTCTCAAGACAGCTTTAAGACTGACAAATGTAAACTAAAAAATCTGGGTTTTTTTTGGAAATAGTCAGTTGCTATTAGAACAAACAAAAGCAGAAGGAAACTTCAAAAGAAAAACAAAACAAACCCAGAAAAGATACCCATCTGCATGGTTTGGAAAAAGGTGCACTTTCAATACATCCTGCTCAAGGCCAAATAGAGAAAACAACTGCCAATTCATGGAAAGCAATGATCTGCCAAAAGTGAAGCTGGAATTCTAGGTTTTATTCCTCCACACCCAACATGAAAGTTGGGTTCATAGAGAGTTTAATTTAACCTCATCCAGGAATGGAACATTATATCTGTACTTATAAAAATGCCCCTTCTCTAAAGCATTAAATATTGAAAAGAGAATTGCTTTGTATTTGAAACAAATTTATTTGCTTCAGCATTTTCCTGATGCTTTTAAATCTGCTAAGTTTTCTTTTTTATTTTATTTTTATTTTTTTAAAAGAACAGAGATATGCTACTAAATGGCATGGTGAGAACAGCACAGCCAGATAGCTTTCAGAAATGAAGTATCATTTTTTATAAGACAAGTAGTAGTTACTATGTTAAACAATATTTGACAACGTCTGAAAAAAGAGCAACAATGTTTTGATTCTATGTAAAGTAAATGGAACCTAAACCCAAAATTGCTTCCAATCTATTCCATAGTCTAACAATACAGATGTATTTAACACTTTATGTTCATAGGGGAAAAAAAAAAGATATATAGCCAGGAATATTAAGTAGCAAATCTCTTCAAAGGCTTTATAGCTTCTGAAGCAAAGGTAGGATCTGCATAACTTTAAAACAGAGGAAGACAGACAAGCGTGATCGTAATCAAGATTAACATTACCAAAAAGATCCTTGGCTTTTTTTTAAGTAGAACATAAGCAATTAAACTAGACAAGGCATATGGGCTTTGCAAACAGACTAAAAAAAAATAAAATTATTACTTCCTATAAAGACAGACTTGATTACATTGAATAAAGATTTGAAACAATACTTTTGACTTTCTTCTGTAAACAAAGTAAACTAATAAATCAAAGACAAGATCTCTGTTGTACACTACATCAAAGAAAGCTCAGAGATACCATTATATATTATATAGGCATAAAAAACAACACAGAGAGCAGCAAACCATAATCAAAACCTACTAATTCTACAGTAAGTACATATGGGAAACTGAGATGTGACTTTTTACAGAGTTGCACAGATGGCAGCTGATAATTTATCTGTTCTATTTCACTGTCTCCTTACAGGGTTTTTACTTCTGCACTGCCACTGGTCTCTAAAACTGACACCTCCAATTCCAAGGGTAACATTTCAAAAGCTACCCAGTTTATTTCAGTAAGGAATGATTTCTACAAATATAAGTATTTCAGAGGACTAACTTCAGTATTCTAAAGTGCTAACTTGATCATACCCATCAACCCACTGGTTTCCCAGCTTTCAGTAACCAGGCTTCACTTGAGAAGACTGGGAACAGTCTACGTTTTGCTGACATCCAGTTCCTGTCACCTCTTCTCCACAGCTCCACATCCTGTTTGCTGCTACCTGCCTTTCTCTTTAGGAGCTTATTCACTCTTCCAAGTGTCAGTCACTGGCTCCACTGCTGACTCCTGGCACACATCCAGGAGGTGCCTGCATGCAGAGGCATCTCAGCTGGCAGGCAATTTATCAGCACATTCAGGAGAACTGAGCTTGGGCTCCACCTTCACCAAGAGGCCTCACTACACACAGGCCATTCCAGTGTTCTCCTTTACTACAAAACCACACAGTCTAAATATTTTCATAAGCAGTTATAAAGAAGTAAGATATAGTCTGTGAGATACGTTATTAACTCAAAAGAGTTAACACAGAGAACAAAACTAGCCCAAATTACAGTGTGAATTTGAACATCAGTTAATATTGCTGAATTCAAACTGTCATGTTGTGGTTATGTCTACCTGTGGATAACAGAGCCAGGAGCAGAATTTTAGATCTGCACACATCCTACAAGTGTGCAATAAACAGTTATACATATGGCCAACAAAGACAGAACTTCAATAAACCTGACTTAATTGCTCCTAGACTTTGTAATATAGTTCAAGCAACATTAATCTTACTTATCTAGTAAGGTACATAACCATACAAAACCAATATATATGCCACAAAATTACAGGAAAGAAATTAAAAATGCATTTCAGAATGACAGGGAATAAAAAAAGAAAGTTGTGAATGCTTTCCTCTAAAAGTATAATCACTCTATGCTACCAGTAAACCCAGATATTGGAATAACTCAGGACTGCTTTTCCATTTGCAAGTCTATTAGGATCATGTAATGACCTCTTTCCTATTAGCATTTCCTGCTCTTAGCCAGGCCATCTCCACAGCCCATGCTTTCCATTGTTTCTGGTTTCTTTGTCCTGAATCTGACAGCATTCACCAGCCCAGAGCTGAGCCAAGATTCAGTTACATTTCATGCATCTATATAGTCCCTGTATATACCTATATAGGAAATACTGTCATACAAGCATATGTTTGTGTATATATGCATGTATTTACACACACAATATAAAAACTAACAGCATTATTCAAGCTCCAGAGTTCCTGTGTGTATACAGCTATATTGTAGAGTTACATGCCTACATATAGCAAATGGGCTAAATAAAACAATTCTGGTTTTGTTTGTTTGTTTTTTTTTTTATTTGAAATAGTAGTTTTTCTCAGTGCAAATATTGGGCATTCCTCTTTCCAAAGGCTAATGTAGAAAGTATTCCCCAGAAAGAAAAATCAAGAAGCAAATAACATTTTAGAAGTTTACCTGCCCTCCTACTGCAGCAAAATAACCATACAAAGGATCTTGAGCTTGTCCAGGGAATGCTGGTCCTCCTGGAGCTCCTCCATACTATAGTAATCAAGAAGAAAAGTAATTTTAAATCAATGATTCAGTTAAGAATCTGTACTTATCAACTTACGGTTTTATATACACACCATGCTAAAAAAAAAAAAATCAAAAAAGAAATTCCTTAAGAAAAAAATCACAAACTTCAATTTTAGTATTGATATACTAATTTGTTGTAATGTAAGCAGATCAGAGTAAAATATTGCACCGGAGCAATCCACTGATCTAGATACAGTCTACTGAATCTCATCAAGGTTTAATTTTAGTGTACCATTAGCAGAAATTGGGGTGCTAAAGAAAGACTAAGGCACTGCAGATTTTTCTCTCCACTTCAGAAAAGCTGAGCAAGACAGATCTCTAGGGAAAATACTTGGAAGAATATGCATTAAGTGTGAAAACCTTCAAGTAAAATTGACCGTTAACTGAAAATCACGGAATGACATCCCTGGCACTGACTTTCGTCCCTCGGCAGCAGGTGCCGGGCGTGTCCCTCCTCTTCTCCCTTCCCATTCCCGAGGGCACAGCCCCGAGCTGGCTCCTGCGGCACCTCCCGGTGGGAGCGGCGGCCGG